AAAAAAAAAAAAAAAAAAAAAGGAGCATTAATATATGGTATTAAGTAATTCCAGTTGTGTTGAGTAATTTTAAAAATGAGATATTTCATTCGTGTTTAATGAATTTTATACATTTATATTCAATGAAAATAAGAGAAAGAAAACCTTTAGGTTTTTTAATAAGTGAATCAAACAAATGATAATTTAAAAAACTGAAAACAAATTCGTAATTTCCGAAATATATTAAATGCATAAAAATTTGATCGATTTGTTGTTTTTGTTTAATGCACCATTGCAATCACGCAGAAAGTCACAAATGATTTCGAGTTTTTGAATAAAAAATGAGACAAGAATCTAAAAATTTTGTCATCAAATCTACTCAGGAAATAGAGAAAATCATGCCAATGAAGTCACTTTTTGATTTATTTCGATATCTCAATCGGTTACCGAAATATAAAGATTCAAAGTAACGCTTAAGACCGTGCGGAAATTATGAATGGGTCCGCGATCCAGTGACCTATTTATTTTTTTTAGAAATGCGTACTATGCATTTTTAGGAATCGCGTCTGTCGCTTGTCTAGAGTTTGGGATAGATCAGTGAGACGAGGTGCAAGCGAGAGGTCCAAATAAGCAACAAGAACGGAGATAATAAACGATTAAAAATTACGTTTCTCTTTATATGACGATATCTTGAGAACCAGAAATCGTATCGGGATAAATGAAAAAGTATTTTAAAGGGCAAGTTTCTGCGCTTCCAATGATCGTTCACTCATTGACCGGAAGTCATTATCTTCGGAATTATAGCGATTCAAAGTATTCTTAATTTTAATATGGTTTGATCAAGTTTTAAAGTAAAATATAAGTAAAATACGTAATAATAATAATAAATAAATAAATATAAGTAAAATACGTAATAAGTAATATAAGTAAAATATCTTTATTTATGGAAAAATATTGCTTTTAAGGATCTTACTAATGGTATATTAAAAATTTTAAATTGATTTCAAAGTTATTTTAAATTTTTTCTTGAAATAATTAGATTTTAAGAACGTAAAAGCTTTTAATAATATTATATTCGTAATATATGATTTTTATTAAAAGTTATGTCCCAATTTCGAATAAGTTGATTTATTCTCATGTAATACTATCGAATAATCATTAAATTTTAACCTTAAAAAATATATATATATATATAAAAATATATATATATATTTATATATTTTTATATATTTTTATATATTTTTATATATATAAATATATATATATAAAAAATATATATATCATTTAATTTTTAAAAAACATATGATTACGTTTTTAACATATGATAAACATATGATTAATTTCGATGAAGTTGATTCTTTTAACTTCTCTATATCAGTATCTCATTTATCGTTTAAATTTATTAAATATTAGACTATAAAAATTACATGTTATATAAATCTTGTTTTTCTCACTTGCACTTAGATTAAAATGCTGTTTTTACAATGGTTGCCGTGCTTGCTGCGCATGAGTCGTCCAGGAAAGAAGATCACGAAGAAGACCATTCTTGGAGGCAACAGAAGGGCAAAGGGCATGGAATTGCAGGAGAAGAGTAGCAAGAGTTTGCTAGCAAATGTATTAGATATCGACGACGACATTCGTCACAAGAATAGTGCGGCAAATCCTCCTTCCGGTTATATAAGGTATATTTCCTTAAATTTTTTGTATTTGTTAATCTTACTTTAAAATATTTATTATCAAAAAAATTCGTGCTATAATAATTAAAATATATTTTAACGAGAAAATTATAAATTTCGAAAAAAAAGTTTACATTACAAATATACAAATGTATATTGCAGTATGTTCCAGTAGTTTCCATATAACTTTAAAGTATTTTACAATATTTTATGGTTATTTTATTTTCAATAATAAATATTCTTCTTGCGATTAACAATATAATAAAAATATCATATAAACATAAAATAATGAATATTAAGAATTGTCATAAAATATTCACGCTAAACTAATTAATTTATTTTATCCAATAATTAATCCATATAATATATGCATATGATCAGACATGAAGTACTTCTTAAAATATACATAAATAATTTTTCAAACAACTTTTTGAATATAATTTATATTGCAACTAACGAAATACAATATTTTCATGTAAGATTACATAAAATTTAATACATAACTTGAAAAAGTATGTTAATTTTTTTTCTACTAAGTATACGATTCAAATAATATAATTAATATTCTGTAATTTAAAGCTACTTAATCTCTCTTACGAAAAAAGCACACGAGACTCGCATGATAATGATTTGCATGATATACTGGATATGTAAATGTAGTGTGAGTGAACATCCCTATCCATGCGTGCATTCGAATCAACATAGTTGGGATGACAATGTAATTCAACACGTATAATCCTCATTCCAACAGACATTCTAAACTTCAGCAGAATCCTCGTAATGTTAGAAGATTTAGTAAAAAGTAGCCGATAATGTTTTAACAAATGAAGGACACAGTGAAAAAGTGCTACAGAATTTATTTAAATTAAAGTAATATGTGTATTTTAAAATGAAGAAGTAACATATATTTAAAATGAAAATGAAATGAATAAGATTGATATTTATTTAAAAGAAAAATGATAATAACAATATCCAGTATGTTAATAATCAAATAGTTGAAGTAATTTGTTAATCTTATTATGTCCTTTTAATTATCCATCCAATTATTATTTTCTATCTATTTATAAATTTTAATAAATTTTACTATTCTTTATCTATTAATTACATGATTTTATTGTTTAAATATAAAGTAATTATTCTAGTAACAAATTAGTAAAATAAATTTCTATTTTCTTTTAACTATAATATTCTTGTTGTAACTTATTCAACAATTAATTGAATATGAAAATGATTTCTGATAATAAATAAGTCTCAGAAAAACTGTAAGTTTAATCATTTCAATTTTCAAAATTCATTTCGTATCTCCATTTTTCTTGAACATACCTCGGGGATATAGATTTTTCCGAATAGACGAACCACTGTCCGTTTAAATTTCCAATGTATCGGCCTCCAGTGAGGACATCTATTTTTTCCTTCTCTTTGATGCCTGTTCGTGATATCTCATTGATATCAAATGCTAGTTGAGACATTTCCGATAAAATAATTCCATATGCTCCTCAATGTGTCCGCCATATAGAACGACGTGATAAAATTTATTTATGAAACATCTCAACGTGAAATGTTCGATGAAAGTTGGACATTAACGTGGAAACTATATATCACATTCCCTATTTTTTGAGTATTTCTTGATTCTTATTTCAAATACTTGGTCAGATATTGGAAATAAGTTAAATTCAATTCGTTAAAAATGAATTAAAAATTCAACGTTGTGTCTGATATAGCATAGAAAATAATATTCTAAGAAAAAAATAAATTTTTATCAAGCAGATCGAAATATAAATATTATCAATAATTTATTAAAAAGTACTAGTTTAAAGAACAAAAATTTAATATAATAAATATTGCATAATAATAGATTTTCGATCAAATTATATTATTCTTTTTTCATAATTAAATAACAAATATTACAACATATATAATTATTGACCCAATTATCACTTAATTAATTTTCTCCTTTCACTACGTTATTAATAAAAAATACGTAATTATTATATAATCAATATAAACTTTTAGGAAAATAATAAGAAAATTTAAATTGAAATCTCATTTTACAATAATAATTTTCTCTCTCTTCTATATTTATATCCTTTTATATTTTCTATACTATTAAAATAATATTCAAAGAAATCACACAAATATATATATATATATATTTTTAATTAATTATGTGCGATCGAATTTCGATTTCAATTTCGATTTTATAATATATTATATTATATTTTTATTATATTTGTATTATGTTATATGATATATTATATCATAATTTTTTATTTTTGCAAAAAAAATAAATAATTTTCATTGAATGATTAATTTATTTGTAACAGGTCGGCGTTCGGTACACCGATATCTACCGGAAGACCAGCAACGGTCGAAGATACGTCCGCATCGTTACCTCTTAGTGGGATGCAGGAGGAATTGCACACGATTCTTAAGGAATTACGATTCATCACGGATCGTATGAAAAAGGCGGATGAAAGCGACGAGATCATTAGCGACTGGAAATTCGCCGCTATGGTGGTGGACAGGTTTAGTATATTTTATTAATATCAAATGTAGAATATTAAGTTCTTGTTAATTTCAATAATGATTTAATTTATGATTTATTCTTACTTATTTATTTATTATTAAATATTAAATATTCTTTATAGAATAAAGATAATATAAATTATCGTTTAATAATTTTATTAATTTAATTTTTATTTTTTCAATTATTTATTGGAATTAATATTCATCTTTTGTATGAAATTTAAATTTTATATATTTATTAAGAAGAACTTAATCAATATTAATGAATGTTCATTTAAAATATCTTTAATTTTAATAATTTTGTTCCTTGTTCGTTACAGGCTTTGCTTGATCGTTTTCACGTTGTTCACGGTTTTGGCCACGATAGTGATATTGTGTCGTGCGCCACACATAATCGTCCAATAAATAGACTGCCCCGGTCAAGTCACCGAAAAAATGCACAAAAATTGCCAAAGGTATTAAAGTTATTCAATATTTATAACAATATTAATCATCAGCATTCTTTTTCATTCAAATCTTTCATTTTTTACATATACATTTTTATATATAGTTTATTTAAATATAATATATAATAATCAACTAGTCTGAAGTCATTATAAAATGGAATAATCACGACGTCGTACGTTGAAAGCATTTCATTTAAAAAAGTACACTTTCATATTTTCTCATATCTCGTTTCATATTTCCTTTACGATCCTCTTTAAAGAATAATTTCGCAATAAATTTAAAAGAGACGTAATTTTTTCTTAAATATTCTTTCTCGTTACTGAAATTCGCTAAATTATGCTTCTCAGTTCATTTAAATCTTTCAGATTCAACGTAATGTTCATAAAGGAATATATATATATGAAAGCTAATTAAACTTTATTTCGCATTTACATATATCTATATTCTCCTACGCAGAAAAACATCATATATTATTTTAAAACAATTTTTTTTTAATTATATTCTCTCAATATATTTTTTATATTTTATTTGTAATTGTAAATACAAATTTTCCATACAATTATGATGAAACGATATTTAATGATAATGAAAGAGAATACCATTGTTCAATTTCTAATGACTTCTACGTATGTATATGAGTTACTGCATTCAAGTAACATCATTCTTAATTCATTAGAGTGGCATAGAAAATTAGTACAGTATGAAATTATTCTATGGATAGCAAGCTTATCTCGTTCGTTATCACAATTATTTTAATGTGGTATACAATTTTCCCAAAATTATAAACTGAGAAATTAGAAATTGAATTTTCAAACATTTAGAATTTCGTGCAAACTTTAATTTCTAATATAGGTCACTGTATAAAATATAAATAAATATTCCAAGTAAAGTTATTAAATTTGACAAGTTATCTAAATAAATTAATATATGCTATTTCCTTAATAATAAATGAGAAAAAGAGATTTCTATTTTGTTACAACAAATACACATATACGTATAATTCAAAAATCATATAAATTTTACTAATAATGAATATAAATGAAAATTATCAAATTTCATTTTTATAAATTGTTCCAATATATCTAGCAATAATTTATTAATATATAAACAAATGATATAAGAATTAAAAAATGTAATTAATTTAAAATTAGTAAATTAAATGTATGAATAAATTATACAAAAATATAAGAGTCAAAATTGATAATATAATTTTCAAAAATAATATTTATTATAAAGTTATATTCATTAGCTAATAATTTGTACTTTTTCAATTAATTTTCAACATATACTCACACGTCTCGTACATCAATATAATAACATTTGCATATAATTAATTCAATCCCGCAATTATTTATTTTTGTTCCACAGAAACGACGATACGTGAGTTTCGAGGAGGCTGCCACGGAAGAGCGATCAAGTAACGAGAGAGCACGAAAAAAGCTGCTCGTTGCTTCGTGCTTCCTTTCTTCTCGCTCTCTCCCTCTCTCTCTCTCTCTCTCTTTCTCTCTATCTCTCTTTCTCTCTTTCTTTCTCTTTCTCTCTGTTTCTCCCGTTTTCTTCCCCCGAAAAAAAAAAGAAGAAAACTCTGGAACGGAGTGATTGCACGCGAAGAAATACTACGTGTGAGACGCGCTTCCAGTTTCGGCGAAAGGAAGGAGGAAGAGGCGAAGAAAGAAAGGGGAGGAACAAGCAAGAGTGAAGAGGCCGGAAGAGGAGGCGGAAGAGGTCGAAGAGGTCGTCGTTCGTTCGGTTCTTGCTGACCGACCAAAAATTTTTCAAACGCTTCGAGCACACACGTTTAAAAAACGAGGAAGCGCCCCTCGCGTGTTGAAGAACCGGAAGGACTTGGCAGGAAGCGATTGGAAAAAGGACTTATAGAGGAGGGCAAAGAAAGCGCCTCGACACATTATACACTATTGACAATACACGGCCACGTTGTGCGTTCACTTTCTTCGGCTAAAAACCGAACTTTCTCTCCTAAGTTTAAACCTAATCGAGCGCAATCGCTATCTTTCTCTCTCTATCTATCTATCTATCTACCTATCTATCTATCTATCTATCTATCTATCTATCTATCTAGTATCAAACTCTCCGCGGATAAGTGATCGACGCTCGGTGTCGTATGACGATCTTATAATTTTATTAAATTATGCAAGAAGAGCGCGTCCTCGTCTCTCTCGAGCGAGGAGGAGCATCGATTCGTTCGAGGCTACTAGGGGGAATTCGAGAAAGCTGTGTGCTTGTGTGCGCATTCCTCGAGAGAGTGTTGTCGCGGCCTTTCAGTAATTCAATAGTTAACAGACACGAACGATAGAAGGGAGAAGAAGGACAACAATAATAGTAATAACGATAATAACAATAATAATAATGATAATGGTAACGATAATAATCGTAATGACTAATGATATAAATAATATTAATAGTAAATTTAAT